CTGCTATATAAGGGCGACACTCAGCTGTCGAGGGGGTCAGCTACAAAGTGAACTCGTTGGCGACAACATATGTATAGAGTATAGCGGAATAATCTATTTGTTTATATTCAGTCGTAAAGTAAACGCGTTGGAAATTACATTTAAGTAAAGTAAATTGTGAAAGTTTTATACAATTGTAACTAGTAAAGTGTATTGTAATTGAATTGTGAATTACTGAGTAAATAAAGGACAAGGCAAATTAAATTGTCGATTTTTTATTTAACAATCCAGAAATCGTACCAGAAGGATTCAGAAAATCATCGAGGTTGATTCAGCAAAATCGTAACAATTGGTGTCAGAAGTGGGATTATTAAATAAATCCCAAAGGATAATATTTGCAAATGGTAATATTCAGGATTTGACGATACCTTCTCTCAAGAAGCGAAGCGAGGATTATCGACATCTGAAAATAAGGCAGAGCTGCCATCGAGACTGCGAGAAGCAATGGAATTTGACGGCATCGACTTGAAACAGTACGAGTTCCATCGCGAGGATGAAGATGTATCCTTGAAGGACATTGACAAGGAAGAGGCTAATGATTCTGTGAAGAAGTTGGAATCACCATCAAGTAAGATTCAAGATTAGGCTTCTGGCTCATCTAAGGGTATTGACATTAACATGTCATTGACTGCGATTTCACAAAATTTGGATGCACAGGACACAAAAATGAACGCCAGCATCTCACAAAATATGTCTGATATGAAAGCCAGCATCGCACAAAAGATGGATGCACAATTTCCAACATTACAACACAAATTGTTGAACAGAGGGAGCAGATATCATCCTTGGATAGAACAATAGCGCAAATACAGCAAAGTCTGGTGAGGAACAATGCGGAACTTAAGGAAAGGCAGGATCTAGTTGAGACCAAAGTCAACGCATTGGAAAGTCGTCTTCGGGAATTGCAGCTAAGTCGTCCAACCGCTTCAGTGATTGCTCCGAAGGTAAAAACAACACCGTTGGAAGGACCGGCAGCCGAACCTTTGCAAACCATATCCGTAAACGAGAGAAATGATTATGACGGATTGATGCAAGCCCTGGAAAGACGCTATGGTATCGAACACAGAAGACAGATTTACCAGATGGAGTTAGAAAAGCACGACCAAAAATCCAAGGAATATTTGCAGGAATATGCTTCGGAAGTTGAGAGATTGGCTAATTTAGCCATTGGAGACACATCGAGTGAGCATCTTGAAAGGGTGAAGATACAAAGATCCATCAGCGGAATAAAAGACGTGTACACCAAGCGAGACACATATGAGGACCCAAAGTTGACATTTGCTGAAACTGTTGCGTATGCACACACACGCGAAACGGCGGCACTTATAAGCAAACCATCATAATGTATGTGCGCATGTACATAGGTACATACATATGTATACCTACAGTGGCTGTTGGTTAAGCGCCTACCAACAACCACACACGTCAAAACAAACTACCGCACAAAAAGGAGAAGACAAAAACTAACAAAGCGACCGGCCAGCTTAGTAAAGACGGCGTGGGTCGCTAGCTTCGTACAATAACAAAACTATTCGCCAAGGAAGAAAACAACACCACGTTGATCTTACTAACGCCGATATAAACAAAAAAAATAGCAAGACAACCATTTAACAGCAAATTGGAACTACTTAAAACAATAAAACAAAAAATGTTTTTGGGTGCACCCAAGGTGTGGTCCAACCGAACTGGTTACGAACCCACTCGCACCACTCCCGTGCTGCCGGGCGTAACTTTAACCCGCCTGTATGTTTGGGCTCTGGGTGCGGGATGCTAGAAGGATGGGGGAGGACGTAACGAGGGTGATGACACTGTCTTCACGACAAAATGTACGCAAACAATAAATTAACAATATGATGCTTAGGGTTGCTCGGTCGGGTGTGCGTCCCGACTTCGGTTCTCCTCCGAATAATGCTGCCAAACGCTGGTTCCGACACTCGAATAAAAAAAAACCTATTCAGCATTGGGCTTCGACTGCCCTTAAACAAGCCCCGACCAGCCTAAAACTTTTACTACTTTGCCTCACCTGGCACACTACACTTTTTTCCTTTTTAAATCACACAAAACAATTCGCACGCCTGCGTAAATAGAATGATCGCACTTTCCTGTAGATTGCAAGAATCTGATCCGGCATGTACTTAGGAGCCAGGCCGCAAGCTACGCATCGGCCTTCAAAATTCTCCTGCGATTGTGTATCGGTGCCCAATCATTTGGCGCCGCCCTCATTACCCAAAGGGACCGGGTTGTATAGCGCACGCCACCATGGCACACCAAGTACACTGGGATAACTTTTCCTCTCGCCGCATTAAAGAAAAAGGCGACACCCCTTTTTACGGAATTCCCGCGCAAAGCATTCCGTTGCCCTAATATTTGTTAGTGGAGGAACCGTTTTGGAGATCACCTCCTTTTGGAGACTTATACCACTGGGTAGGCACACACCGAAAGCAACCGTGCCATCAATCCATGGCTTCAAATAATGCGACTATTTGCCAACAGATGTCACTGCCAACGCTTGGATTGAAAGTAAGCTTAGGCAAAACAAAGGAAATGAACATACAAACATGCGTCCAGTACGCGACAACTCCACCTTCCTTAATGAAAAGAAAGGAACCTTCTTTTTCGTCAGGGAACGGAAGTCTCCTACCGGGTCCTATTAATTCCTATATGGCCTCAACTCCTTAACGTTCCAAGTCCCTTTTTCTTTGCCTGGGTCATCTGTCAGTGTGTATGTCCACGCTGACACTCTCTTCCTAACAATAAACGGCCCTACATACTTTGAGGCTAGCTTCGCCGCATAAAAATTCGCTACATCTGACAGCATGAAATTTTTCCTCCAGACTAGCTCTCCTGGCATATACTGTACATCTCGACGTCTGAGATTGTACTCCTTCGGAGTTGGACGCACCTCGCTGGTGTTTGGCAGTTTGCGCATACGGCGGGTTACACGTCGTTTCGCTTTGTCTAGCGAGGGAAGCGGTGTGAAAAGTCGGCTAAAATAGCTCGCGCATCTCTTCGAGTCCGACGAGGCGCGATCACCGAATGAAATTTCCACCCGGTCATCGCGTCTCGTCCGGTTAGACTGTAGCTCAGAGCTTGGTTGCCCCAGAGGAGAGGTTGCAGGCCCTTAGGTGCTCCTCCCATTTATTCCGCTTATGATTGTTGACAACTCTTCGAGTCTCCGCGTTTAAATCTCTGATTAGGGGATTCCCGGGATCGGAGCTTCGGAGGGTGTCGCACCTGGATGCTAATACCGCCGCTCCTGTCGGAAAATTTGGGCGGATTTCCGCAATCCGGCCTGGCGAGATAAAGCGGGCGGCAGCGGTCACGACGACCTTGCGGAATAAGCGTTCACCAGCGGTGACGTCAGATGGAGTGGGAAGAGCACTGAAGGCGTTCTCAGTAAATTCCGTTAATCCGGGCCAGTTAGCCTCTTTAAAGTTAACAAATGTCCGGTGGTCCGCGGAAACAAAGTAGGGAGGCCCGTCAATCGAGATTTGTATGGGCAAGTGGTCCAATGCTAACGTCAGTATAGGTCGCCTAGACTATACTGTTTATCAGACCAGCACTCGCAATTGTTATGTCTGGCGAGCTTTGGCAATTACCCATATCTCTGGTAGGGAGTGTTGTCGTTCATTGTGCAGAATGTTGAATCGTCTATCTGTTCCGCCAGCTCCATTCCTCTACGGTCATTTGACAGGCTAGAATGCCAAAGATCGTGATGCGCGTTATAGTCGCCCAAAACCAAACGGTTTTCGCCCCTGAGTAGCGCACCTATATCAGGGGTGTATCCTGCTGGGTAACTTATAACTGGATTAATGTATATATTGAATATTTCGAGCTCGACATTGCCTGACCGGATAGCTATGCCCTGACATTCTAGGGTAGTATCCCTGCGGTCGATGTCGCCATCAATGATACGATACTGCACGGTGTTGTGCAGGATGAACGCTAAGCCCCCACCGTGGTCTCGCTTGCGATCCTTGCGGATAATGTTGTATCCGGCCCTGTTCAGATCTGATCGGGCGGTCAACTTGGTTTCCTGGATCGCAGCAATTGACAGGTGCTCCCGGCTCATATAGTCGACTATCTCGTCAATCTTTCCCTGGAGTCCGTTGCAGTTAAATTGTAGGAGTCGGGTCTGTCTCGGGGGAACGTTCGTGATTCGGGGGTGAGGGAGTGATGCGTGGATGGTGTGTGTTGCTGCTGTACTACCCGCGGGAGTTGGTTCCGCACATTGGTGTTGATTGGCGGAGGGTTTGTAGAGACATACGGGGGCAGACTCCTACAGCACGGGGCAACATACGCATCGAAAGTGACACCAGCCAGAGACAAAGTTGCATTTGACTGAGGTAACGTTCCGACGCACTATGGTCTGACACATGGAACAGACAGTGCGGGGGACTAGAAGCCGCTGGGTAGCCCTCGCACGGCAGGAGGATGAGGAGCTGGTTTTGGGTAGGGATGGGTGTGGAGGTTGAAGGGAATCATGCTGCGGGGAGCTCCGTAAGACCGTGGAGGTCTGCTGATTACCCAGAGTGGGTACAGGTGCTGAAGGCACTGCCGTGAAGACTGAGGGGGCGGTTGGAAGCTGGCAGCATGGGGCCACATAACTCGCGGTCCATTCCCTGTGAGTCTTAAGGCCTGAACAGGTCTTAAGTTGACTTCAACCATTGCACTGGGTGCATCTAACCAAGGTGGAGGAATGGTGGAGTCTTCTATGACACACGCAGCAGAAAGAATCCGTCGGTCCAGGGTTGGTTTCTACACCAGACCTGATAAGACGGATTTGGAGCAACCCAAATGCAAGGTGTTGCTCAATTGACGAACTTAGACTAAAGTTACCTGTAGACCTAAACGGGGGTTAGGTCGCCGAAAGGGTGATAGCTCTTGGCCGGATAAAATCCGGGTCAACTCCGGTGCGTAGAACCGGCTGTCGTGAGAGTCGTGCGAATAAAACAGTGATATGCATTGGTTAAATTCTATATTAGTTATGTTGCATTTTGAAAATTTGTATTTAAAAACTTTACCATTTGGAAAAGTATGCAAATGAAAATGGACGTTTACATGAAATACGAAATATATTCGTGGGGCATTACTCCACGTCGTGGGTAAAAAGTGTGGGAAACAGAATAGTTTGCTAAATTTGTTATGTCACTAGTATAAATATCCGCAAATCGAAAAAGACGTCTAGAAAAATACGTTGGATTGTGATATGTCCGAAACACGCTTCCAAACTGCTTATTAAACACCATTTTAGTTTGATTCCTATAAAATGAAGTTAATATTTATATAATAATAAAAAAAAAGCATATTTAAGTTACCTAAGTAAATCACGCTCTTTTTGCCATTTTTCCAAACAAATATGGGCTGCTTCGCATTGGTAGTCTTGAATATCTTCTATGAGCTGCGTTAGCATTTGAAGCCAATTTGCATTTGTTTTAAAATTTACATTATTTAGAGTCTCAATTTCATGCTGTATAGTAAAAAAGAGTAAACGCTTATTAGAAGATTTTATGAAAATCATAAATTTTATACCGTGAGCTCATTTATAATGGCACCAGTTCTCCACCCATGTTCTAGTGTGACATCAGCCAAATCGCTGTAAGGATGGTCACCAAAGTAAAGCACAGTATGACCCCGCCATCCAGTTAAATCTTGCAATTGCTTCACTGTTCCCTGAAAATATTTTTTTGTGCTTTCCTTAACGTTTATAAGTTAACATTACCACTTTACTTCATAATATATTTTTCCCTTATCCAACCTTGAAACTCGATCCCACACATTTGAATTAGTTTTTTCATCATATAATCGAATAGGACGGGATTCATCCGTGAAAAATTTCGGTTTCCTTGCCTTCACTATTATAACGTCGAAATAT